TGTCGCCCAGGCTGGAGTGCAATGGTGCGATCTCAGTTCACTGCAACCTCCACCTCCCATGTTCAAGTGATTCTCCTGCCTCAGCCTCCCGAGTATCTGGGATTACAGGTGCCCACCACCATGCCCGGCTAATTTTTTATATTTTTAGTAGAGAGACAGTTTCACCACGTTGGCCAGGCTGGTCTCGAACTCCTTACCTCAGGCGATCCACCCACCTCAGCTTCCCAAAGTGCTTGGATTACAGGCATGAGTCACTGCGCCCGGCCCAGCCTCACTTTTTATAAAGAGGGAACTCTGCAAGAGGCTGTCTGCAGATAACCAGCAAGGGGGATCGGCCCGTTTGTCCAGGAGCGCCCTCACTCTTTCTGTCGGGTTTGTGGCTACAAATATTGACACCACTTTCACATGTGCAGCCCAACTATTTCTTTTTCCTGTTTCTCTGGGAGTTATTTGACGATGGCATCTGAAGGCCTTTAAGTGTGAAGAGTTAAGAAGTATCATGTCTTTTATGACTGGCCACTGCTGATGGGACTGGCTGTGGCCATCCAGAAAACACTTCCCTTGATTTGTGTCATTGTGGCATTTGCTTGGGTTCTGGAGAGCGAGTCATTCATGATCGTCCTGGTCAGAAATTTCATACCCAAAGATTCATTTGTCTCTCTGTTTTTCCATTTCCAGCCTGGATGTGTAAATACAACGGAAGTGGACATTAAGAAATCATCCAGAATGAGAAACCCCCACAAAACACGGAAGGTAAAACTGACATCTGTTGTGCTGATCTTGGTGATGGATTGCATTGTTTACAGGATGTCAGCCATGAACACTTTCTTCCCATGTAATGGAGTATCTTCCTCACCCTTCCCAGCCTTCCACAGCCCTCCCTTCCTCAAGAATAGCCCCATCCTGATGCTCAAGCACACCAGGGTCCCAAGACAGAGCGGTGGTACTGACTAACTGACAGGAGAGGAACAGGAAGCGGAGGACCCCTCCCCTCTCCCAGAGAAGGGTGTGGCCTTCAGAGCCCAGGAAAGGAGGAAAAGAAGATGGAGGTTTTCTAATGATGATTTCTAAGGAAATCTAAGGATGCTTTTTCTAAGGAAATCATCCTTAGAAAACCTGACACTAATGAGAGAAGGGCATTTTAAAACCTGAGGAAAGGGTGACATCTAAAAGGTATTTAATTACAGAAAGAGTGCAGAGACCCCCTCTTAACACTAGAATTTTGTAACACAACCATAAGACAGTGGTTGTATTTCAGTGTTCGTTTTCTGAGAGAATATCGGTGTGCAGGGTGCAGGGGAAGCTATTCCAAGTTCAGTGACATTTTAAATAACCCTTTGAAAATGCATAGCGATAGTCTCTCCATATTTTTTAAAACAACACGTACAACTAGAAGGGATTTTTATTCATTCCATAAAACATGCTTGATGTACACAAGAATTTCTGGCCTGTAGCAGTCACTTTGAGAACACAGCTTATTGATTGGTCCTGCAGGATTAATACATCCCACAAACTTCAAGGTCTTCTTTTCTGTGACTATTTCCTTAGTATTTCCTCAGCCATAGTGTTTACCAGAGTCTGTGTCCCTGCAATAAGCACCCAATATTTTTTTCTAGTCTTATTTTATGTTGCCTTTTCTCCTATCCCTAGAAACATATAACTTCATGTTCAAAGGCCCCAGTATGGTCCAGGTACCTTTTCTTTCTTTTAAGGCAGTTTACCTTGATGTTAGGATAAACAAGCCGAAGCAAAGCACCACAAAACCAACTCAGATGCGGTGCTCAAAAGTATCTGCCCCTAGGAACTCTCCGAGGGAGAGGCGAAGTCAGACCAAAGCAAGCCTGTCTGGTCCGTCTCTCGTGGCTGGCCCTGCTTAATTGCTTTCATCTTCTGCTCACAGCACAGCCTGAGGGCACCAAGAACTAGTTTTGCAGAACAAGATTCAAAAATGCTATCAGCGCTCCAAAAAGTGCATTAAGCCACCTCTCTCCACTTTCTGAATAGTGAAATTACTCTTCGAAATACTTTATTGGGTGTCCTGTTTCCCCCAACAGACACTAACCCAGACATGCTGTGATTCAGAAGAGAAAGCACATGAACTGACAAGATAGCACTTAGACACAATAAAGGCATCATTTATACTCTCTTTTCGGCACCATCTTCAGTATTGATCATCTTTCTCGTGTTTCACATGGCACCCTTCTTTTCGAACATTTGAGAAGCATTAGTTTACAATGTTGTTCTTCACATACCATCAGCCCTCATTTAATGATGAAAAGCCCATGAGGCATTGCAAGGTGAAATATTGTAAAAAAAAAAAAAAAAGAATCATTGAGATCTAGCTCCCTTTGTTTCGATAACATCTCATTTCTGGTGAATCAATAATGATGGAATGACAGGGCCTCACTCCAGAGCTGTCTGGCGCTAACATTTGCCAGGAGAAAACAAAAGTCCTGAAAAATCTGACAGCAATTAACAGGTATGCCCTTATTTTCCACGGCTGGAGAAAACTGATTTTTCTCACCTTTTGATAAATATAGTTTCTCACAGTCAGAAGTGTTCAATTTGCTAGAATCTTCGCAGAGGATAATGTTATTTTGCATGGAAGGTTATACGACTCCAAGCCACATACTAATATGTTTTTTTTAGAAGTATCACCACTGATACTTCATATGATATGAAGTATACAACTATGATATGCTCATAGTTGTTTAGGAACTGTAATGATCCACTGAATTAGCAAAATTAAGGAGTCTCTGCTCTATGCCAGACATGTCCTGGGCTTTAGGTACTCCACAGTAAATCGGACAGTCAGGGCCTTGCTCCCCCTAATTCATGGTCTCATAAGGGTACAGGTATTGAGCAAGGAGACAAATGCCTGTACATGGATAGAAGTATATGATTTCGTTAAGCTTTATGTAGTCTGCTGGGGCCGCCTTAACAAAATACCGCAAACTAGGTGATTTAAAGAGTAGGAATTTGTTACCTCAAAGTTACGGAAACTAGAAGTTCAAGATCAGGGTGGTGGCAAGTTCAGTTCCTGTGGAGTGTCTCTTCCTGGCTTGGGGATGGCCACCTTCTCCTATGCTCAGTGGCTTTTCCTGTGTGTGCATAGAGACAGAGAGAAAAACAAAACACAACAACCAACTCTGGGTCTCTTCCTCTTCTTAAGAGGACATCAGTTCTATTGTATTAGTTCCCAGCCTATAACCCCACCTAACCTTCATTTCCTCTTCACAGGCCGAATCTCCAAATACAGCTGTGTTGGGGGATAGGGATGCAACGTAAGAATTTGGGGGAGGGGACACAACTCCGCCCGTGACATATGACAAAGGGAATTTAAGTGATTTGTGCTTGTAATTGCCACTGCATTTTATCAGTGAATATCTTGACAGCAATCAGCAAGCTGTTTCACCCTCCTCTGAGGGGTCCACAGCTCTGTGTCTGCAGAGCAGGCGACACTGTGAAATCCCAAGCCAAAGAGGCCAGCCAGTCGCCCCTGGAAACCACCCTTCCCTTCCGCCAAAATTGGGCTATCACTGTAGCGCGTCCTCCCGGCCGTGTGGTCGGCCTCAGTCTTTATACTGCGGCTGCTCAGGAAGTGGAACCTACGGAACACGCTTAATCTTTGAAAGCAGATAATGCTCGTAGCAAGGAGAGCTGCTGTCCATTTCTTTGGGAGCCAGCTGTAACAATTTTCCTGTGATTACGTGCCATAACAAGAGTAAAGGACCCAGTAAATCCCTAAACTAACAGTCTAGCATAGGTGCTGAAGAATATCAGAGTCATTCCACATTTCATTTGGGAATGTTGTATCTAATTGTTGAATTTTTGACATGTTTATCAAATATAAGAAGCGAAGGCTTTGCTGTATGGATGATTTGAGCTATGTTAAGAATCTACCATTAGTCCATTTTCAAGTCTTTCTATTTAATTAGAATATACTACAATATAAGGAAATAGGTAAAAATGTGTTATCTCAAGGATCTATGAAAGAATGATAATGTAGCATAGCCAGAAAGAAATCAGCCTAATCTAGGTAAGTTTGAAGGGGAACCGTCTGCCTGATGTTCTTGAGTCTGATACTATTAATTTTGACTGTAATAGATTCTGTATTAGCCAGAGTTCTCCAGAGAAACCGAACCAGAAACAGAGAGTAGGGGGCGGGACAGGGGGAGAAAGACAGAGACTTATATTAAGGCATTGGCTCACAGGATTATTGAGGCTTGGCGAGTTCAGAATCTGATGTGGGAGGCCAGCAGGCTGGAGACCTAGGGAAGAGTGGCAGTTTAAATCCAAAGACACAGCTCTTGTGTCGCCGGGAAGCTTTTGCTGGGTTGCTGGCATCAGGGACCCACCTCGGCATGTTGTCTTGTCGCCAGGCCCCTGGTGCACCCCAGCGGCAGGCAGAGCTCACGGCCATGCCTTCGCCCCACCCGCTGCTGGTCCAGGGTCCGGGCACTGCGTCGATGGCGGCTCCGCAAAACATTCGACCCGGCTGCAGCCCGTGTCCTGAGCGGACTGGACTGTAACATGAGGCATCTGCGCGGCTTCTGCCGGGCCCAAGTGGTGTGGGGCTTCGGCCGTGGCTCCAGGCAGCTGGGCATCCACGCAGCTAATCTTCCTGAACAAGCTTAGTAGCTAATCTTCCAGTTGATGTATCCATCGTCATTTATTATGGTTGGGCCAGGGTTGGAAGTGGAGATGGCCTTTAGGTGGTGGTGAGCATAGGATGGATCCCTACCACAAGAATATGAAGAAGTCCATGGAAAGGCTTATCCCGCATACCTTCAAAGAGGACTTCTATGGGGAAATCCCCAATGCGGCCATTGTTGCCTACCTCGAACCAGAAAAGAACTTTCTTTAGAGTCACTTATTTCAGCAATTCCCGGCGACATTGAGGAGGCTAAGAAACGACTAGATTTACCAGAACATTTGAAACTCAAGACAATTTATTCCGGGTTTCTAAAAGCAAAATAATGAACAGCCCCTGATGAAAAAAAACATATTATTTATTCATTCACTGTTTTCTAGTATTTGAGTGTTTATTACCATCTAGCCTCATCTTGGTTATATTTTAAAACTCAAACATTTTCCTATAGCTGCGAATTAAACAGTACAATATAGTTACCATATCATGCTTCAGCTGTTAAATTAAGGCCATCATGTCATAGCACTAAAAAGATTCATTTAAAAATCAATATTTAAAAAAATATATTGATTAAAATGTATCACTAGAAAGGTATTACATGTCTTATAATGGAAGTGAAATGTATTATAAGTACGGGTAAAAAGACAAATCACTAGTTTGAGATGAAAACTAAAATTTTCATGGTAAAATACCAACATGTATGTACTTGTATAGTTTGTACTTCTAGACAGAGAAGGCTTATAAAAGTAAATGCATTAAATAGAAGTTCAATAGTTTATCATAAACCTACACGGAATACACCTAGACTTTGTATTTTTGATATTTTGTGCATTAATATATTATTAGAAACATGAAGATGTTTGTGAATTTTTTTAAGTCATTTTCTTTGAAGTCACATCATTGTACCATCTTTATTTTTGTACAGAGCTGCTTCAATTCTGTCATCTGGACCTCCCCTGCCTGTTTTTCTGTTTGTTTAATACAGTAAAATAAGTGTTTTTCAAATCTGTACATCTTTTTGTGGGATAACGCTTTTTTTTTTTTAAGAGTAAATATCCTTCTTCTTCAAAACAACAAGCAACAACAAAAAAGGCAGTCTGGAGGCAGAATCCCTTCTTGCTCAGGGGAGGTCAGCCTTTGTTCTATTAAGGCCTTCAGCTGATTGGGTGAGGCCCACCCGCATTATGGAGGGCAACCTGCTTTACTCAAAGTCCGTTGATTTAAATGTTAATCCCATCCAATAAACACCGTCACAGAAACATCCAGAGTAATATTTGTCCACATATCTGAGTACTATGAGCCAGCCAAGTTGACACAAAATTCACCACCACAGGCTGTATCCTTCTGTAGGACAATAGCTAGAGGGGTCCTAGGACACAAAGCCTGAGGGAAATGGTAAGAGCATCTGCATGTGTGTGACTGAATCCACACTTTGGGCTCCGTCCTGTAACGTTAGCGCCCATATTTCAAAATAACAGTAAGCTATTTCCTATCCTGTTCTCCTTTTCCTCTGTCACCTTCATTTGGACATCATGGCACTAAATATTACAGTTAACAGCATCAGTGAAAAGCTAATGTGCACATCCTAGAAGAACAACAGCAAATGTATAATTAGCTGTCTGGTTTTCCCGCTATTAATAATCCAGTGGTTGTAGCTGTTTCTGCATAAAATATGGATGTGTCCTCAACTCCATATACAACATGTGTACATTTACATTTTAACGTGTTACTGAACAGAATAAACTACTCATATCTTAGAGCAACACAAAAGTGTGTTGAGTAAAGGGTATAGTAAAGGTGCAGGCAATAGAAATTGCTTAAATGAGAATGAATAAAGAGGGGACTTTACTTTTTTTTGAAATGGAGTCTCCCTCTGTCTTGCCCAGGCTGGAGTGTAGTGGCGGAACCTCGGCTCACTGCAGCCTCTGCCTCTCAGGTTCAAGTGATTCTCCTGTCTCAGCCTCCGAAGTAGCTGGGACTACAGGCATGTGCCACCACACCCTGCTCATTTTGTATTTTTAGTAGAGATGAGGTTTCACCATGTTGGCTAGACTGGTCTCAAACTCCTGACCACAGGGGATCTACACGCCTCAGCCTCCCTAAGTGCTGGGATTACAGGCATGAGCCACCACACCAGGCCAAGAGGGGACTTTTCTGATTCATGGTCTGAAACCTTGTGGCAGGCAGGGGTCGAGCTGGCCCAGGGGTGTGAGTGGACCCAGCTCTCTCACGCTCTCTCTCTGGTCGCCTTCTCTCTGCTTCTTTCTCTGTACTGGCTTTCTCCATATTGTGTCAGATATGGTCACAGTCTGTTCTCCAGTTCCACTGAGCAACCCTGAAAGAAAGAGAACTATTACCACGTCAGCCAGTCAGAAAAGCCCCAGCGATTACATTTCACATGGAAACACAGAAAGGCATCTTGTACTTTGTGGTCTCTATTTTACAGTCTCTGACTTGGTTCTTGGTCTGTTTGAGTTGCTGTGACAAAATATCTTAGACTGGGTAATTTATAAACAACAGAAATGTATTGCTCACAATTCTGGAGTCTGAGAAGTCCAATAACATGGCACCAGCAGATTTCATATCTTTCACGAGCTCACTCTGTGCTTCAAAGATGGTGCCTTCTCACTGTGTCCTCACGTCGTGGAATATGCAGATGAGCTCCCTCAGGCCTCTTTATAAGGGCACTAATCCCATTCACAAGGGCTTCACCCTCATACCTAGTCACCTCCCAAAGTCCGTACCTTTTAATACCATCACACTAAGGGTTGAGGATTTCAACTTACGAATTTTGGAGAGACACAAACATTTAGACCATAGCAAACCCCCACCCCCCACCTTAAAAAAAAAAGGGATAATTTTTCTAGTTCTCTTCTAAAATGTCAAGGGAAATCACCTATGAACAGATTTATGTAGGAAGCCAAATCTATTTTATTTAATGAATAAATAGATGGCACTATATATGAAAAAGTGCTTGTCTTAGCACCACAAGGAATAAAAGAACATGTTAATCAAGCCAAAGTATTGCAAATAAATGATTTTGCTATTGAAACTGAAAATGGATCTCAATTAGTTGCTTTGATTTTCCCCCTGCTGCAAATATTAAGATATTCAGAGATTTTATTTCTCTTCCTCTCTAACCCTACCTGTTTCTAGCTCTATGCCACCCTACCTTGTACCACAATTTGAATACATTTTTTTCTGAAACATGCAAAGCCTTTTACATTGCAAATAATTTTCATAACTTGCCTGCCAAAACAGGATTAATCTCTTTGCCTCCTTTGTCCATAACATAATCCCCACATATAAAATTATATTCTTCTCGGCTGTTTTCATTGTAGCCAACAATCAAAGTTAAAAGCTATCACTATCCCCAGGAAATGAACAGTGCTCAGATTGGTGAAAGAGAGACCTCCTGATATTGAATTTTATGTAAGACAAGAAATGGAAACTCTGCAGTAACTTCAGAGCCAGTAGCCAGGTGCCTGGAAGATGTTTTAAGCAACACTTCCCAATGGTTTGGGTCATGGTCTCTGGTTTTTTGTTGTTGTTTTTTTTTTTTTTTTTTTTTTTGAGACGGAGTCTTGCTCTGTCACCAGACTGGAATGCAGTGGTGCGATCTTGGCTCACTGCAACCTCTGCCTCCCAGGTTCAAGTGATTCTCCTGCGTCAGCCTCCTGAGTAGCTGTGACTACACGCATGTGCCACCATACCCGGCTAATTTTGTATTTTCAGTAGAGATGGGGTTTCACCATGTTGACCAGAGTGGTCTCTATCTCCTGATCTTGTGATATGCCCGCCTCGGCCTCCCAAACTACTGGGATCACAGGCGTGAGCCACCGTGCCCGGCCTCCTATGAGACCTCTACGGAGTTTACAGGAAATGCATAAATGTTGAAATCATTATAGAAATGTAGAGATAAAAGATAACTTATGGGTCATTTTACTTTCATGATACCACGAATTGCTGTGTTTTTCTAGCAGTCTTTTATTTTTTTCTCTTAGCCCAAAAACTTACTGTTTAAACCATTAGCTATTTTTTAAACAGTGTTTACATGACCTGTAGATTATTACTTAAAAACTTTAAATAATTAAACCAAGTTAAAAAAGAATGGAAACTTCAAGTCTCAGAGTCTTTTTATTTTTGTTTTCAAAAAATAAGGTGATACAATTGAAAAAACAGCAGATACTGAAACGTACAACTATTATATAATTGGTGATCTCTCTGTTGCCTAATTTTAATTGACAAATAATAATTGCACATATTTATGAGGTAATATTCAATAAACATATATACCACGGAATGAACAAATCAGAGTAATCAACATATTTGTCACCACAAATATTTATCTTTTTTGTGGCAAGAACATTTAAAATCCTCTCTTTTAGTTACTTTGAAATATGTAATACATTATTATTAACAATAGTCACCTTGCTGTCCAATAGAACACTAGGGCTTATCCCTCCTAGCTAACTGACTTTATACCCATTGACCGAGATCTTTCTTTTCCCACCCCCTATCCCAGCCTCTGGTAACTGTCACTCTACTCTCTACTTCGACTTTTTTATATTCCACATGTAAGTGTAATTCTATGGTAAATACCTCTCTGCCTAGGTTATTTAACTAAACATAATGTCCTCTAGGCTCATCCATGTTATTGCAAATGACAGAATTTCTCGTTCTATAAAGACTGAATAGTGTTCCATTATGTATATACACCACATAATTTTTTTTTTAAATCAACCTCTACTGTTATTTCAGAATTCAGAAGGTTGTTTTATTTAATCATGTTCAAATATGGCTAGTATCAGCTTGGGCCGTTTCCATTCCTTCAGTGTAAATTAAATCACTTTATATTCCAGGCCCTATGCTTGTTATTCTTTTCTGTTTCATAATACTTATCGCATTTTTAGTCATATATTTATTTGTGTAATTGCCTGTGTAACTTCTTTCCCTTCCACTGGGTTGTGAGTTCCAGTGCAGAAAGAAGCACATCTATTTTATTTGTATTTCCCTAATGCTTAGCACTATATCCACTATATAGTAAGTGTTCAATAAATGTTGAATGAATGAATGAGTGAAAAAATAAGTGAAATAAAAGGGCTAGTTTAAGCCATTCAGCTCCATCCTGTTCAGGGTAAATTTAAAGCATATGAGCAAATCCTTGTGTTGAAATGGATGGCCATTTGCTGCCTCTTGTTTGGCATTATAAAAAAAAGAAAACAGAAGTGGATGTCTTCAGTAATGGGAATTGGGTTCCCAAGGGTCTGGTGCTAGGGCAAGAGAAGGGCATTGAAGAGGCCTACTCAAGATAGTCTGGGAACAGATAATCCCAATGATTAAATCCAAGTTAAAATCTATTAAAGAAAGGATGAGAGCACCAAAAAAAGGATGGAGGCCAGGCACAGTGGCTCACGCCTGTAATCCCAGCACTTTGGGAGGCCAAGGCGGGTGGGTCACCTGAGGTCAGGAGTTCAAGACCAGCCTGACCAACATGGTGAAACCCTGTCTCTACTAAAAATACAAAAATTACCCAGGCGTGGTGGCATGTGCCTGTAATCTCAGCTACTGGGGAGGCTGAGGCAAGAGAATCACTTGAACCCAGGAGGAGGTTGTGGTGAGCCAAGATTTTGCCACTGCACTCCAGCCTGGATGACAGAATGAGACTCTGTCTCAAAAAATAAAATAAAAAAAAAAAGGACGGAGCAGGGGGAGACACAAGGGCAAAACCACATCCGAAAGGTGCAGATACAGAGTCAAGAGGTAATGTAAGTGGACGTAAGGTCCTAGTGAAAGTGGATCAGGAACAAAAATACATTGAATTTAGAGATATTGGCAAGCTTGGTGACTGGCCTGAAAATTGGCATCATTAGGCATCTGGATCTAACCTCATCTAAAGTGTCTTTGCAAACCTTATCTGGTACTAATTTTGTGGAGTTCATGCAGTTTTATTATGCCCTCATTCTTCTTGCTCATGTCCAAAGAAAAAGTGCTCAATAACACCCATTAAATTCTTTATTTTAAAGGAATAGTATAATATTCAAGAAAAAATAATTTGGCTTCTTCCTTGAATTGACACGTGAGATGTCTCACACTCAATCACAGATAGTTTTTCGTCCCTTTAGTCACCAGATCTTTATTTATACTTACTAAGCAATGCGCCTTTCTCAAAAAAGAGTCTTCCTAAGTAGTAGGTCTCACCTTTTGACAAGTTAATAAAAAAGTACAAGGGTATTGAGAATTCCAAAGATGCATGAC